GGGTCTGGACACCCGCTGTGCCCATTATGAGGAGCTCCCACCATCCCTGTGCTGAGTTCCCGGGTCTGTACACCCGCTGTGCCCATTATGAGGGGCCCCCACCATCCCTGTGCTGAGTTCCTGGGTCTGTACACCCGCTGTGCCCATTATGAGGGGCTCCCACCATCCCTGTGCTGAGTTCCCGGGTCTGTACACCCGCTGTGCCCATTATGAGGGGCCCCCACCATCCTTGCTAGAATTCTTACTTATAATAAGGTATGGGGAGCCTGACAGGAGGAACTACAGCGATCGGATATCTCCAATGAAGAGAAGCCAGTGGATGGCGAAGCCTGAAAGCCGCCTATAGAAGAAACATGACTGTGAAGCACATCACCTCACAGAGGGACTTTATACTCACATAAGATCAATAGGGACGCGGCATTTTTCTTCACATTTGCAGTGAAGTTCAGTACATGGGATTCTTCTTGGATCGCCTGCAGCTTATATCTCAGAGGAACACGGAAACGCGCCTTCCAAACGTTTACATACAAATCTGGAACCTGCAAAAGGACACATTAGAGTTTATCCAAGGCAGTAATAAGCGATGACATCTCCCCCTCCCCCACCCTATGATTGTTGGTATGCTGGTCTTGGCCCTTGGAAGAATTGGAAGAAGATCCTCTTCCTGAAAAACGTGGAGAGACTTTGGAGGTCTGAGACTACATTACCTTTTCTGTAATAAACATTACTAGGGGTTGCCCATCCTCCACAAACATCTGCGACCAACTAGAAGACAACAGAAGACAATGGTGAGATTGGCATCGGAGGACACGCCACCATCCAAACCCCGACACAGAGCGGCCTCTCGGCCTCATACATACATGATGGCCTCCTCTTGTGTTAAGACATTCTCTATTTCTTGGCGAGGATCCGGGAGCAGCGTGTCTAAGTAGCGGACGGCTCCACGGCGGAACAGTACAAGCGGCTCGGCGCCTGGAAGGCTGTGGATTCGGCAAACCTCTGCCGAGAGCTGCGGGTGGAGGAAACACGGAGGATTTATAACATGACAGCCGGGATCTCTAGAGTGGTCACACAGCTTGAGACATGCTGAACACCGGCGGGGGTTTGTAACTCAGCACACAAGTCAGCAGTGAAGTGTAGGCATCTGGGGAGCCAGCGCGGGGAAGGAGGGCATCGGGGGAGCCAGCACGTGGAGGGGGGCATCGGGGGAGCCAGCACGTGGAGGGGGGCATCGGGGGAGCCAGCCGCACCTTCATGGCAATTACAAGCCAATCCCTCCAATGAAAGTCTTTAGGGATTCAATGAAAACAATGTAGTACTAATATCGGTGCCAATGCAGAGTATTTAAGCGAGTGCTGACCCAAACGCTCCGATACCTTCCTCGGAAACTTCCAGTCAGAGGATTTCCTATGACCGGCAGTGCCGCGCGGGAACATGGAGCCGGCTTCCCGGTCAATCAGGCAGCCTGGCACCGTGTAATGACACGCCACCTGGCTTCCTGATTGCCCGGGAAGTCGGCTCCATGCTAGCGGAAGTACTCGGTATCGGCGAGTACCGAAAGATAGAGATCGCTTCTCCTACTCGATAACAACAAAAAAAAGCCGGATCGGCGCATCCCTATAAATAAGTGAGGTCATCCAAGGCCGGCTTCCTGCACTCTGCACTGTATGTGATAATTCAGGGAGGAGGAGGATGATGATGAGGACGATGTCTTCCCAGGAAAAGCATCAACACTGAACACCAGGCTGACATAAGACAGATGAATGCAGCTCTGTACCGATCCCTACATCATTATATGTATTAGATAAATGTAAGCAATGTAAGTGACTAAAAGGGACTTGGCATCGGCCTCTCGTAGTCCCTGTACAGCACAGCTCACACTGAAAGAGAGGGAGCAACACAAGGGGCCAATCAGGTCTGCAGCACAAGGAACATGGTGATAGGAGGAGAAAGCGGAGTGACAGAGAGATGAGCTCATCAGTCTGCGGCTTCTCCTTTCCCTTCAGTGTAAGGTTGGAGTGGAACGTGAAGAGAAGGATAAAGCCAACATCTGTCCCATGGAGGAGAAATAAACGCACCGTTGTTTTGAAGACCTTATCCAATCTGACATCTTCCTTCTTCCAAATCCGGAGCACCTGGAGAGAAACGCACATCATCAGCGGAGAGAAGAAATGTCAGGAGAGGGGACAATTCAGGGAGCCGGCGTGCGGGGGCCATCAGGGGAGCCGGGGAGG